ATTAGTTATTGTGGAGCATATTTCTACCAGCCATGGCAACTGCACGTAAGCCCAGCAACGAACCAATTTCAGCGTGCCTTTAAAGGGAGATTATGACCTTTTTCCACAAAATCTGAGTTAGGACCATTTTCTGACAAAACACAACAAGTTATAATGTAAATTAAAACCATTTTGCTCAATTCGGTACCTTGCCGCAAATATCTCAACTTGAAGTCACGTTAGCGGGGAGCGCTGAAAATGACCGTTGAATAAGTACTTACATCACTTTTTGGTACTTGCATGTAATTTTGTAAAATGAGCGTAGGGGAGAGTGGGGTAAGATGCCCAGGGTGGGAAAGACGCCCCACCCCCTCTAGCGGCGAAACAAAGAATCGAACCTGGAAATTATTGTTCTTAGCGTAAAGCGGAAGCCTGCCTTGTTAACTGCACAAAAATTTGCGAAGCTCAGTTGGGCAACGGCTGGCTGGTGATTGCATGTTTTTTATTTGCTGCTTTCAAAAAATATTTTGGTGTCAAAACATTGCAAATATCAAAGAAGGTAGATAATTTTTGCGTCCCTTTGCTATAGTTGTGATACATTAACCCGCGCCCTGCTGGGGGTCCTGGATTTCCATGCCCTGCTGGGGGGGGGGGTGTTTGAACACCCCCCTTGTAACTCGGCTCCTGGGCCACGTAGCGATACGCGGAAGGCGGCGTTCGAAAGAGCGTAAAAAATAATGACGAAATCACTTCGGTCAATTTTTTGGTCAGGTCAAAGGTCAGGTCACCAGAGGTCATTGAAGGCAAAATTTCGCCGATTTCCAGGTCGAATGTCGAAAATTTCCAAGAAGCCAACGCATAACTCGGGAACCAATAGAGCTACAGCGCCGCGGAAAAGCGCATTCGATAGCCCTATTAACGCCCTTTCTGAGTAATTCTCTCAGATTTGACCTAACGTCAACGGTTTTGCCTGCAGGGGGCAAAAACTGCAAAAATAACCGATTTTTTCGAAAACAGTTTTTCTGCAATAACTTTTGACCCAAGCCTTGTACGAGCTTACTTTTACCGGCATCGTGTTCCTCTCGTCAAGACGCATCGAATGAACTATAACTTGACCTTGAAAGGTCAACTTGAAAATTTGACCTCAGGTCAAGGTCATGACCTGACCGGAAAGGGTCATGTTGCATATCAGTCGATCCGTATCGTCGAGCTGAACACATCTAAGGAGTTTTCATCGCTCTAGCATGCCTCTATCAAAAGTTATTTGCGAAAAACTGTTAGATACCATTCGTGACCTAAGATGACCTCAGGGCATAAACAGGGGTCACGAACACCATTTTCAAGTTCAGTGTGTCCAAACCACTTGTAATTCGGTGTTTGGGAGTGTTTATAATGTCTTTCATCCAAAAGAGGCGCATTTCAATTTTCTCCCATTGACTTATAATGGGGAGGTCGCAAAATTGACCTGACCTTAGGTCATCGATATCAAAATTCTGAGATATACATTTTGTACATGCTATTGCTCTTAGCAATCGCTGAAAGTTTCAAAGCGATCGGTCACTCGGTGTAGCTATGACAGACATTGAAAGTTTTTATGAGGTGAGGTCACTTCAAGTGACCTGGTGACCTGACCTTGAATGACCTTGGTCTGAAATTTTCACAACATGTGTAGAATTGATGTATGATAAGGTGTACCAAAAACGGCGGCGCTCCGCGCCGCCGTTTTTGAGATATTTGCGAAAAACCACAAGGGGGGGTGTTCAAACACCCCCCCCCAGCAGGGCGCGGGTTAACATGCGTGTACTGTGTCCCAAACAGTTTGTTTCAGGGTGTAGCTTTATGGCTAACAAATTGTACTGATTTAATGTTACTTCGGTACCTTGGGGTAAGATGCCCCCTGTCCTGATGGGGAAAGACGCCCCCCTAAATCCGTAGGCTGTCCTTCAAGCAGCCCGTCAAATCATTTATTAGGGGAGAGTGGGGCAAAGCGGCCACCCTAACGTTTCTAACGATGCCGACGCTTGATTTTTAGACTTGGAAAGATTCTTTCTATACCAATGTGTTCCCTATTAAATTGTCTTTTATTCCAACTGCGTTTCATTTCCAAAGGCGTTCACATATGGGAGATATTGACAAAACTTTAAACCTATAGCATATTGGCCACTTTGCCCCATCCCTGAGGCAAAGCGGCCACTGGCGACTTCTCAAGTCCCGATATGAGAAACAGAATAGTTGCCTCATGCACGACTAGGGTATTTGATGGTGACAAGGTTTAAGGGAAGATGGATGTTAACTTTGTTATCTTCCCACCTATTGCTAAACAAAGAAAGAATTTTCTTGGAAAAACATTTAATTGCATAATTTGGTAACTCATGTAACCGAAAAGTGGCCAAGATGAATGCATGGCGGCACATTTGAATATAAATAATGTTTTTATCCAGATGGAAACAACTTATGGCCAATTGGGGGCTGGCCACTTTGCCCCGGCCGCTTTGCCCCGGGGCAAAGTGGCCGGGGCAAAGCCGTCCGAGACAAAAATATTCCAGCTCAGCTATTAGTGGGGTAAAAAGCATTAAAATTGGTAGAAGGCATGTACGATAACCACGCAATGCATGGACAAAAACGCTTATAAAGATTCCAAATGGTTATGGAATAAAATAACATTTAAAAATTGTAAACATAATTGGTAACCTGGCAAGAAATGCTTTTCCGTGTTTCACAGAACAATGGCGATGGGCCTGAAACCCCGGTCTGGCTCATTCGAACGACCGCAAAGAGAAGTATAATTGGAAATCATAAATTGGAACTGACGCCAGCTGTGGAGGGCTAAAACGATGGATGGCCGCTTTGCCCCGGGTGGCCGCTTTGCCCCACTCTCCCCTACATACTTGTGATGAGAGACAAAAGCCGATCTGGGACTATTGAGAGTCCAGTACGGTCGGGTGCTCCCATGCCGGTCTCTCGGCCCACACAGCGACTTTTTGGGCGGCATCTGACTCTGAGAGCCCTCACGACGGCCTCTGTGGGCCCCATTATTGGCTCCAGGGCCCCCGACAACATCCTTTGAGGGCTCCCCTCCCACATTGGCTCCACGGGCCGCGCTGGCATCTGAGGTCCCCGTGATGGGCTCGAGGGCCCTCAAGCATCATGAAGACCTATAAGGGCCCCACAGTGGTCTCCGAACGCCACCACGGAGGCTTGTTTGGCCGTGTTGGACTATGATGGCCCTAACGATGACCTCTGAAGCCCTTTACGACTACTTTTGAGGGCCCTTACGAAAACGTTTGGTGTCTACTGCAGGCTCGAAGGGACTACTGATTCGTTCAGGCGATTCACGTGCCCATTTATGTCACTTATAGTGCAGGGGGCATCTTACCCAACGCCAGGGGGCGTCTTTCCCACCCTGTGGGGTAAGATGCCCCCTTTCACTTCTTCGGGAAAATGCTTAATAGCAAAAAAAGTTATCATATTTCAGGCACGAAAGTGTGATATTTTTGGAGAAAAATGATGTCGGCTTCCGTTGAAACTCCAAATTTTTGCTTCCCGATTGTCATTTTCGAATAATATATGACATAGCAAAACCCTGGGCATCTTTCCCCACTCTCCCCTATTCATTACATTTGATCTTCATCACATCTAGTTAGTTAATGGTCGTCTATAGTGCCTTCAAAAGATATTCATGGTTTGGGGGTGGTTTATGTCTAAATTTACGCAACTATTTTTCCTGTTCATCATCTGTCGCCATATGCTGCTATTTTAGTAGCAACGACTCAATTTTGAATCGGTCCCGCCGACTGCACAATAAAATAAGATAGATACAACACTTTTGCGGCATCACTGAAAAACTTATGCAGTACTGTTATCAAAATTCTCATAACACCGTTCGACAAACCTGAAGTCTTTTTGAAATAAATATGCTTGTATTTTTCGCTTCAGGCTCTGAGGCCAAAATAATGAATTTCGTAGTCGCAATCGCAAGATTTGGCTGCGTTTCTGGCGCATGCCGTTCATTTGTGCCGCATGCCGCATGCCGAAACAAAGAAGAGTAGGCACTATGTACCCCCGAATTAGAATCTAATTAATTCTAAACCGAATAAACTCTAATTCAAATTAGAATCCTTACAACCAAGCAACGACAAGGCGATAACATAAACCAAACCCAAGCGTCGCTGTTTGAAACAAAAGCGCCATATACTGCGACTTTTTTATAGAGAAGGACAACGCATTTCGGTGGGTGTTACAAGTCTACTGCAAGTACTGCTTCTTTTTTGCAAAAATAAAAACCTTTTTCACATACGAAAATGTGCTAGGAAATTTTCATATTTTATAGAAACTACAGTAGAAATAGTATAGATGTCGAGTAATTTTTATTTAAGAAACAAGAAAGCTCATTATCTCCCTTTAAGCAAGAGAGCGTAAAAACGTAAAATTTAGGTGAGAACGAACTTATGGGACACCCTGTATTTGCAAAGCACCGCCAACAATTGCGAAGTGACCAGGCAACTCAGCTTCTTACTAAGTTTAATCAGGATGTAAGAGTTCTCGACCATGTAATGAATGTTTGGTCAAATGTAGGTACATGTTGATCTTTCGGAAACTAATGTTTCACTCCCCGAGGCAGTCAACTTCATGTCCCCACTTCAGGACAAAAGTGTCCGTTTGTCTAACTTGAAGAAACATATTCAGCAGATTCGAGTACGCAATGCTCAGCATAATAAAACTGTCGTTATCCCCGCCTTCTCGGTCACAACGTGTATTGTGGTTGCGTTAGTGCTGTTAACTATTCTATAGGTACGTCCAATGTCATGTGTTTAAACCCGTTGTGATCCGACCCCAGGAAGTATCCACTCAAAATCCTGCCCCTGACAGCGCTATTGTTGAAGACACATCAAGTGTAGCTCCAAATATCAAGCCCCGGGAAAAACACACGGACCCAAGTCCCCCGTACTTACAATGGTTAAAATCGTCTCCGACCCTCGCTTTTTCGAAATCCGCAGATGTCTGATGCAAATATTTTCCAGAGGAGTTCTTTCTCCGCAGCAGAGATGTATGTAGGTACACTCGGGGGCAGATTGATGTTCTACAACTCTTTATCCACCGGGTTCCTATGGCTCAGCATTGGCAGCAGCCGCCTGGTACCGGTAGACTGCGCTGCTTCACTTACTTGTCAAGCGGCACACCGTATGCCACCGGTCTGGGTCGGTGGCTGGAAGGCGATGTGGGCCGCCTGTGACGTCAGCGCAGCGGTGAGGGCCGAGCCCGGAGGCATGGCTCGGGTCGGCGCGGCGCGGCGGCTGGCGAGGGCTGGGGAGTGAGGTGGGGTGGGAGCACGAACCATCGCGCGGCTGAGCGAGTGTAGTTAACTTTCGCGTCTCAAGGCGCCAATTATTCTACCTAACAATGGTGCTAAAGCAGTTGTTAAAATGTCCTATCCCCAAGACAGCGCCAGTGGCGTAGACAGGGGGGGGCCATGGGGGCCATGGCCCCCCCTTTCCGCCCAGCCGCCCAAATGGCGCCCCAATTAGCGCCGACTAGGCTGATGCCGTTTTACAGAGAGAACATGAATTAAAAAGTGATGTGTAGGCAGGGATCGAACTCAATATCTATTTAGGGGTGCCTGGACACCTAAATAATCTCCAGGGCACCCCCAAATACGACCTGAACCCCCAAATGTTGAAGGGCGCCCCTCCGGAAACCAGATTATTCCGAGCCCCCAGGGTCGATGGCGCCCCTGAAGAGCCACTGGCACCCACCAAAACGGAACAGTCGCCCCATTAAAGCTTGATGGCGCCCCTCTAGATCACCACCCGGCGCCCCTCTGAAGTTCACAGCTGCCCCAATCGACCCATCCAAGATCGATCCCTGAAACCACTGGCGCCCCTCTAAAGCACCCGCATTCTTCTCGAGATCACAGTCGCCCTATCCGAGATCAATAGCGCCCTCAAGAGCCACTAGCGCCCCACCCCCTTGAGACTGTAGTCGTCCCGCTTGAGACTAAAGTCGCCCCATTCAAGCCCAATGACGCCCCTCCAGAGCGTCCGGCGCGCTTTTGAAGATCACGCCCATCTAAATGAAGGAAGGTTACAGCTGCCCCATCTTAAGATCGATGGCAGCCCTCTGAAACCAATGGCACCCTTCTAGAACACCCGGCACCCCTCTGAAAATCACATTCGCCCCATCCGAGACAACGCCCCTGGAGACTACAGTCGGCCCACCCAAGCTCAAGCCCCTCCAGAGCCTCCCTGCGGCGCCCTGCTGAAGGCAACAGTGGCCCCATCCATGCCCAATGGCGCCCCTCAACGCCGTTCTAAAGATCACAGTCGCCCCATCAATCCGAGGTCGCTGGCGCCCCTCAAGAGCCACTGGCGCCCATCTGACCCGGGGCTTCAGTCGGCCCACCCTTGATCAATGGCGCCCCTCTGAAACCACTGATGCTCCTCTGAAAATCCCAGTCGGATCATCCGAGATCAATGGCGCCCCTCCAGAGCGTCCGACGCCCTACTGAAGGCAGCAGTGACCCCATCCAAGCATTGCACCCCTCTAGAGCACCCGGTGCCCTTCTGAAGATCACATTCGCCCTATCCGAGGTCGTTGACGCCCTCCAGTAGTCACTGACGCGAAACTGAATTGGATACTTCGGCCGCCCCCCCCCCCCCCCCCCGAAACCACTGACGCTAGGCAATTTTTTGACAATGGGGCTTTCTCATCGACACCAAGGGCCCTTTCCAAGATGCAGCAGCTAGGCGGCGCCGAGCTGGGCTTGGATGTGCCAAGCGTTCCTTATTAGGCAGCCTTGTAAGTGCCACCCTCGTTGCGATACCGCCCCTCAACGCGACCCTTCACCGTACAATGCCACCCCTCAATGCAAGTGGCGCCCCTCAGCGCTGTGCCGCCCATTATTGCGATGCCGACAGCGCCTAGCAGTGGGGTGCCGCCCCCAGCGTAAGCGTTTTTTTTTTTATTGAACCTGCTGGGGGTGTTTGAACACCCACTTCTAACTCAGCTTGTGGGCCACGTCGAGAAGAGCGTCAAAAACTATTACAAAACTACTTAGATCATTTTAAGGTTAGGTCGAACTAGTCGAAGGTCAGGTCACCAGCGACAACCGAAAATCAAATTTCGCCGATGTTGACATTTTTCGACAAAGCGGCGCATAAGTCAGGATTCAGAAAGAGATTGAACTACAGCGCCGCAGCAAAGCGCATATTCGATAGCTCTTTTTTATGCTCTCTCTTATTGATTATCTCAGAGTTGACCTAAGGTAAACGTTTTAGCCTAAAAAAATACGTTTTCGTGGAGGACGTTTATCTGTAATAACTTTTGGCTCAGACCTGCATGAGATTAGTTCAACCAGCATCGTGTTCCATTTTTCGAGACAGACGAGTCAAATGAACTAGAATTTGACATTAAAAGGGCATTTGAGAATTTGACCTAAGGTAAAGGTCATAACCTAACCGGTAAAGGTCATATTGCATATTAGTCGATCCATATTTTCGAGAAGGAAAATAATTATATAGGGTGTTGCATTGCTCTACCATATCTTTATCAAAAGTTATTGTCCAAAATTTACTGGAGACCTTTCATGACCTGAGATGACCTCAGTAGCATAAAAGTGGTCACATCACGAGTGGCATTTACCGATTAAATGTGTCATATTTACCTGCATCCCGATGGTTGAGGTTGTTTTCGTTCAGAAGAAGAGCATTTCAATTGTCTCCCATTAATCCGCGCCGTGCTGGAGGGGGGGGGGGGTACCCCCTCCTTAGGTTTTTTTCGCGAACATCTCAAAAACGGCGTCGCGCAGCGCCTGCGCTGTCTTTGGTACACCTGTTCATACATCTTTTCTACACAGCTTGTTAAATTTCAGATGAGGGTCGTTAAAGGTCAGGTCACTAGGGCACGTCAAGTGACCTTACCTAAAAAAAGTTAAAAGACCCGCTATAGCTACACCGACTGAACGATCACTTTTAAAACTTTTAGAGGTTGATAAGACTAACAATATGCATAAAATGTTCATCTCGGACTTTTTGTTTCTGTGACCTAAGGTCAGGTCAATTTTGGGACCTCAAGTCAGTGGGAGAAAAGTGAAATGCGCCTCTTTTGGACGAATGTCGTTTAAAACCCCCTTAAACATCGGTTCATAGGTAAACATAGCACACTGAATCGTAAAAATGCACATGTGTCCTTTTATGTGCCCTTGGGGTCATCTCAGGTCATAAACGGTCACCTATTTTATCACCATAAACGGTTTTTTTGGCTTCAATTTTTGATAGAGACGTGTTAGGGCGGTGACAACACGTCAGATGTGGTCAGCCCGACGATACGGATCGACTGATCTGCAGAATGACCCTTTCCGGTCAGGTCATGACCTTGACCTGCGGTCAAATTTTTAAAATAACCTTTCAAGGTCAACGTATAGTTCATTCGACGCGTCTCGACGAGAGGAACACGAGGCAGGCAAAATAAATATTGTCACTGTCTTGAACCAAATGTTATTGCAGAAAAACGCTTTTCATAAAAACTATTATTTTTGGAATTTTTGCCCTCTGGAGGCTAAACCATTGACCTGAGATCAAATCCGAGAGCAATATTCAGAAAAGCCTGAAAAAGGGCTATCGAATGCGCTTTTCCGCGGCGCTGTAGCTCTATTGGTTCCCGAGTGAGCGTTGGCAGTTTCCAAAATTGTTGAAAAGGACTAAATTTTACCTTTGATGACCTCTGGTGACCTGACCTTTGACCTGACCTAAAAATTGAAACGAAGTCTTTCCGTCATTATTTTTGACGCTCTTTCGATTTCCCCTTACCGCGTGTCGCTACGTGGCCCAGGAGCCGAGTTAGAGGGGGGACGTGAAACCCCCCCCCCCCCCCAGCACGACACGGAAAGCACAGGCCACCAGCACGGCGCGGGTTAACTTATAGGTAATCGGTAACTTATAGGTAGTTATAGAGAGGTCGCAAAATTGACCTGGCCCTCAATGAAGATATTTGGTCTGGGGATTACGCAAGGCGAATGTTAGGTGAGATCAGCAGGTTTTTTATGGCACTTATTCAAAGTCGACCATGCACACTCACATCATCAAAAGTCGTCTTCTATACTACGCCGGCCGAAGACATACCTTCGTGCCACTATATGGGACAGTCTCACGCCTCACCCATCTGGCACTCATGCAGTCATGAGTGTCTGAGATTCTAAGCACGGCCACCCCGGTCGACCAGAGGCTGCAGTCCACAGGTCACTTTGGTTCAGTGAGTGAACCTGTATGTTTTTTGTTGTTGTTTTTTTTTTTGCAAAGAATAAAGATTGTGCCAATCGATCAACGCATATTTTACCGTTTCGAATTCGAATGGGTGTGTATTTTGAGAATAACATGTCCGTAGCCTGAGCTCGTTTCCTATATCGTGCTAAATATGCATAAAGATTTTTTATCGCTTTTGATAAAAAACACAGCTGCAAATTGTATGAATTGGATTTTATGAAAAATCAGCGGAACCTGGTTCTGATACTCGTGCCGGTTCCGTAGTAACACCTAGTAAATCATGCATGAATATATGACGTTACATTTTAGACTGACCCCCTGTCACTAGCTCACTATGGCGCCCCTCTCAAGGGAAAAAGTCGCCCCCTCGAGCACCATGCCCCCCCCTTTCGCTGATTTCTGGCTACGCCACTGGACAGCGCCTATCATCATACTTGCCATGCACATTACGACACACTTAAACGTGGCATTGGGACAGCCGATAGTATTTATATCACACGTGCATCGAGTTGCGGAGCTACATTGTTTTTAACAGATAAGTATTAACCCGCGCCCTGCTGGGGGGGGGGTGTTTGAACACCCCCCTTGTGGTTTTTCGCGAATATCTCAAAAACGGCGGCGCGGAGCGCCGCCGTTTTTGGTACACCTTATCATACATCAATTCTACACATGTTGTTAAAATTTCAGACCAAGGTCATTCAAGGTCAGGTCACCAGGTCACTTGAAGTGACCTCACCTCATAAAAACTTTCAATGTCTGTCATAGCTACACCGAGTGACCGATCGCTTTGAAACTTTCAGCGATTGCTAAGAGCAATAGCATGTACAAAATGTATATCTCAGAATTTTGATATCGATGACCTAAGGTCAGGTCAATTTTGCGACCTCCCCATTATAAGTCAATGGGAGAAAATTGAAATGCGCCTCTTTTGGATGAAAGACATTATAAACACTCACAAACACCGAATTACATGTGTTTTAGACACACTGAACTTGCAAATGGTGTCCGTGACCCTTGTTTATGCCCTGAGGTCATCTTAGGTCACGAATGGTATCTAACAGTTTTTCGCAAATAAATTTTGATAGAGGCATACTAGAGCGATGAAAACGCCTTAGATGTGTTCAGCTCGACGATACGGATCGACTGATATGCAACATGACCCTTTCCGGTCAGGTCATGACCTTGACCTGAGGTCAAATTTTCAAGTTGACCTTTCAAGGTCAAGTTATAGTTCATTCGATGCGTCTTGACGAGAGGAACACGATGCCGGTAAAAGTAAGCTCGTACAAGGCTTGGGTCAAAAGTTATTGCAGAAAAACTGTTTTCGAAAAAATCGGCTATTTTTGCAGTTTTTGCCCCCTGCAGGCAAAACCGTTCACGTTAGGTCAAATCTGAGAGAATTACTCAGAAAGGGCGTTAATAGGGCTATCGAATGCGCTTTTCCGCGGCGCTGTAGCTCTATTGGTTCCCGAGTTATGCGTTGGCTTCTTGGAAATTTTCGACATTCGACCTGGAAATCGGCGAAATTTTGCCTTCAATGACCTCTGGTGACCTGACCTTTGACCTGACCAAAAAATTGACCGAAGTGATTTCGTCATTATTTTTTACGCTCTTTCGAACGCCGCCTTCCGCGTATCGCTAGGTGGCCCAGGAGCCGAGTTACAAGGGGGGGGTGTTCAAACACCCCCCCCCCCAGCAGGGCGTGGAAATCCAGGACCCCCAGCAGGGCGCGGGTTAAGGCCTTGATTGAGCTCATTGGTGTCTATTATTTCGCACAGCGATTGTCCAGACACGTGGGAACTGGAGTTTTTGGATAGCGCGGCGTCCCAACTTTAAGCAACTCTTACTGTTCCTCTAATGTGTGGTCGCAGCCACCAATAGCAAACCGTTCCATCTAGGAACAAATAAGTCGCGCACCTGGGACGGTTCGAACCGGGTTTCTCCAACCGGTCATCCTACGACGCTAGCGTGTATCCACTGAGCTGCCGAAACCAGCGACCACCTGTCGCGGTCAAACGCGATAAAATGTCACAATGCTGTCATTGGCGGTCAGCGGGTTAATGTCATTTTGTTTTGTGCAGACGAGGACCATTCTCGGTAGCTCAGCGGATGAACGCTCGTTTCGTGAATTGGCCGATGGGAGAAGCCCGGCTCGAACCCCCCTCAGTGGCCGACTTTTTGGCTCCTAGTTGGAACCGTTTGCTATTGTGGGCTGCGACCACATATAAGAGCAACAGTAATAATCGCTTTAAATTGGGGCGTTGGCTGCGGTTCTACTCATAACCCCCAGTTCCCACGTCTCTGGACGATTGCCGTGCGAAACAATAGACACCAATCTGCTCAATCAAGGCCTTAATACTAATATGTTATACAAAATATAGCTCCGCACCTCGATGCACGAGTGACATAAGTTCTATCGGCTGTCCCATTGCCACGCTTAAGTGTGTCGTAATGTGCATTGCAAGTATGATGATAGGCGCTTTCTTGGGGATAGGACATTTTAACCCTCGCCCTGGCAGGGGGGGGGGGTCGATGCGACCCCCCCCCCCTAAGGTTTTTCGAAGATAGCGTAAAAACGGCGGCGCGCAGCGCCGCCAAATTTGGCACAGCCTATGGGGCAACCATTTTACATATGACCTGAAAATTTCAGGTCCGGGTGACCTTGGGTCAGGTCACCAGGTCAGAAAAACCGGTACAAGGTCATGGTCAAATTTCAACTTTCTTTTTGCACCTGTACAACTCACAGTTTTCGACTGATTTCCTTCAAACTTTCAGGATGTGCTAAGTTCACCGAGTTGTATAACATATAGTTCGGGTTTTTTGAGGTCACTGACCTGAGGTCAGTTAGAGGTCATTGCGTCGTAATGTTAAGCCTATGGGAAAATACTAAATTCGGAAAATACTGGAGATATCCGCTTCGTTCTATCACTTTTGTGCTTTGAAACCACAGTACTTAACAGCAGGTCACTTGGTGCTTCTTTTTTTGGTGTACTTATCCATGGGTCAGGTCAAATGAGGTCAACTGAGGTCAAATCACATTTTTTCCAATAACTTGGCACATAATGACGCTAGAGCTTAAAAAATGGTGTCATTGTGTTCCTGGTGATCAGCCGAATCGAATGATATTCAATATGATGCAATTTGGTTAATTTGAACTTAATTAGTTAATTAAAGTTTACTTAAAAATTAAGAAAAACTTTAAGTACACTTAAGCAAGCTAAAAAGTATATCATTCGACGCGCCTTGACGTGCTGAGTTCACTGGTGCTTTTCTTTTTGCTCTATCTTAATTAGATCAAAAGTTATAAGCGAAAAACTTTTGACCTGTTTTTAGCGAAATTTTTACATTTATACCCCCCAAAACCCCCTAAATATTGACCTAGAACAACCAAATTTGCACAGGAGCGAGAACTTCATGGGGCCCACCTACCTACCAAATTTGGTGTTTCTAGGTGCCATAGGAGCCAATCGCGAGGGGGGGGGGGGTCGCATCGACCCCCCCCTGCCAGGCCGTGTTATGAAAAAGGCCCTGCCAGGGCGAGGGTTAACAACTGCTTTAGCACAATTGTTAGGTAGAATAATTGGCGCCTTGAGACGCGAAAGTTACTACACTCGCTCAGCCGCGCGATGTCCGTGCTCCCACCCCACCTCACTCCCCAGCCCTCGACAGTCGCCGCGCCGCGCCGACCCGAGCCATGCCTTCGGGCTCGGCCCTCACCGCTGCGCTGACGTCACAGGCGGCCCACATCACCTTCCAGCCACCGACCCAGACCGGTGTCATACGGGTGGGTAGGCTGTGCCGCTTGACAAGTAAGTGAAGCGGCACAGTCTACCGGTACCAGGCGGCTGCTGCCAATGCTGAGCCATAAGAACCCGGTGGATAAAGAGTTGTAGAACATCAATCTGCCCCCGAGTGTACTTACCAGTAGCGGCGCTCCCACACTCGGTCGAGCCGCCGCCGGTGCTAGTCAGCGCCACGGAGGTCGGGCCGCCCCCGGCCCCGCATCGGACACCCCACGTCCGGGCGCCCCGATAAAACTACGCTGACGCCGATGAACGAACTCCAGCGGCGATTGAAATTTGAGCTTGCGAGTATCTAACAGTCATTTTACGGCATAGAAAATGTCACGATTTCTGACAGTCATACACGAGGCCGGTTTTGACAAAAACATGAAAATCATGTTTTTCAGACACCCCAAACATTTGCCTGACTGGCCATATTCCAATTTATTCGATTAGGTGAACTTGAAATTTGGGCCTTTTCGGTATTTATGGCCACTCGTGAACCCCATTTGCATCACTGTGCTATGATACTGTCAGCAGATATTTTCTGTTTACGTGACAGGTGCCTGGTGAAATTCGTGGACGATCTCAGTTTTAAAGCAACCGAAGCCGGCGATTTTCCTGTTGGTAAAATTAAAAAAAAATGTCTGACCAAAATGAATGTGTGTTGTAACATTAAACATGTACTTATTATTGGGTCCCTCCCGCATGAGCGACGACCCCAGTCCCCCAGGAACGACTCTGAATGAATGGGGCGGCACGCGCTCACTTTTTGTGACCCCGTTTTTACAGGGCCGTTTTTACCCGCATGCCTGCGCTACGCTACACGCCACCACGTGCTCTACGAGAAACACCAACGAGAGTTCTACCAGCGTTCGCGGCGCTGCTGTCGCTAGGCGAGCGGAGACCACCGCTGCTCGGACCGGTGGAGCCGTGTGACGTCACGCCGTTGCTCGATGAGCTGCGAAGGCGCGCGGCGCGGCCGGCGCTGACCTTGTTTCGGGTGTGACCAATCGGCGTGCGCTGGCTACCGCCGGCCGGGCCGACGCGCAGATTTTGTTGTGGCCGCCGGTGTCGGCAGTGACGGCGCCACGCTGACGGAGTGAGGGGGCGCGTCGGAGCGGTCCGCGGCGGCCGGGCGGTGACAGAGGTGTGGCGGTGAAACGGGCAGTGCTGCGGCTGTCGGAGCACGCGCTGGGCTGAGGGTGCCTGAGTGGTAGTGGGATCGGAACAGTGCGTCCGCTGGCTGGACTGTGAGGGTGAGGACTTGTGGGCATCCGCTGGAGTCGGCGGAGGCGTTTGGTCGACTGCGGCAGCTGTTTGAATGGTAGGTCACAGAACCGTCCCAGTCGCTGGATCGAAGTGGTCGAATGTGTTATGTGCGTTGACTTTGCACGATGTTTTTATGAAGAGTTATTGACCAAACATACTGCCTTGTCTTGAATTCAACGCTTCAGTTTTCTGGGACAGCACATAGGTTTTCAATATTCATCAATCATCATACCCATTAATCTGAACTAAAAGTGGCTGTTGACCCCTAAGAAACCAAAAGAACATTCGCACCCATGGATGTAAATTTACGCCGAAATAAAACCACTGGGACAGACAACAGTGGTATGTATGTACTTTGCTTACGGTTCAACGCACTATGGCCAATATAAGAGGTTATGGATACGTTATGGATACGCCTGCAGTCCTGCAATCAGGCCATATTTTAAGGATTTTTCACTGCGTCCCAAAGGTGGCATAGGGCACACGCTTTGATCGGAAAGGGCACATTGCAAGCGAAATAGTATATAATGCAAGTGAGATAATGTACAGATACATTGTGTACTGTGCTAGTGGAGGGGCACTGCAAGCGGGATATTGGGAGCGGGCTGTGATTGCTTTTGCCAGTCTCGAAATTCGCCCAGTCGTAGTGCGTTCTTTATCCGCATTCAAAAGGCGGACCGGCGATTTAATGGCATTTACATTGTTGTTAGTCGCTCGTTTTCCTGAACGGCGTTGGGCGTGTTTGACCTCCCTTGACGCACCAAATTGTACCTATGCTTAGAGAATAAAAATGAATATGCACATGACTGATACATACGCCTCTTCATGCGTTTTTCACCCTTATCAATCGATTCAAAATAGAAATTGACGTGTGAAACATTGCCAATTTGCATTGAAGATACCATGTGTTTGAAATAATTAGATTACGTAAGGTCAAACAGTACCCACCTAAGTTGTGACAAGAAATCATCGGATTTTGAAGCTACATAAAAAATCCATCATAGATTAATGCTTTGGATGAACGGATGCTCTGGAATTGGATGCTTCGGATTTCGCTTCCTTACTGCATATACAGTGGCGGCGCCACGAATTTTCCCCAGTGGGGGCAAGCTTGAGGTGACCCGACTGTTGTCTGATACCCCGATCTGCAAAATCCATGAGCACCTTGCCCCTAGATGATGCCATTAAAAATTGTTATGGTTTCAAGTTTCATGCATACGTATTGAGCTTAACCATTAACCTTCGCGGGCCTGGAAGGTTTTTTCGCCTCCCCTGGCGAATATTTGCAATACCTCATGAACGCTTACGGATAGAAAGACGAAAGCTGCTGTACCTTATCCCCCATTAATTTGACATCTTTTGAAGCAAAAAAAAAGGACCTAGCCTTCTTCATAACGTCTCAGGGCCGATATTTCTAGACTCTTGCACGGCAAACTTCGGCGTCACAGACGTGAACTTCAAACAGCTGCCAAAAATAGTTTTAGAGATAAAGACAAATTACGAGCACGGTTGTGTAGCATTTCACCTAGAAAAAAAAATACTTAAGTATTTTTGGTGACCTGAGGTCAGAGGTCAGGTCAACATTCCCGAGCTGATGCTTTAGTTTTTTTTTCGCAAATAACTTCAACAAAAATGGTCCTAGAGCTACGGCAGCGGTACCTTCGCATTCGTTTCGTCGAGACGCGTCGAATGACATATATATATTGTTTGGGAAAGGTCAAGTTTTGTGTTGACCTCACGTGACCTCGAATGACCTTTGGTTGACTTTGACACATGAAAGGTCGTATGTGATGATTTCGTAGCCGCTGATCACGATTTCTGGCATCCATTTTGCTCTAAACATTCATTTAGAGCCTCAGGATGGCAAAACATGTCTTGATTATTATGCCTGACTTGAATAAAAGAAATAGCCTCTAGCAAGGATACTCTCTTGTGAATTTGACCTTGAAGCAGCCTTGTATCGTAGGCTAAAGCACAAATAGGGGTCCGCTAAGCTTCAAAACATTTCAAAACATCTCGGAATTTAATATACAAGATAGAGGAAAAAGTGCAAAGTTTGAGGTCAATTTTGATCATGACCGGGACCTTGAATTTGAATGTTATGCACATCATCGGAATCCCCAGACTCTCTTCTTTCGTTTGACATCCATTTCAGCCGGTTTTATGCACCATGCCGACCTCTGGAATACGTACTTTGAGACCACTACAAAAGTGCCGGTTTTTGCCTTTGACCTTGACTTTTGACCTTGAAAATTGACCTGACGTAAAAAAGTTTAGGTACCTACTTTAGAAGCTTCTCGTAGGTGCCTTTCGTTTGGTACCATTTTTGCTTCCGTAGCTGCCTTATTACGGAGCGAGCGAAGCGAGCGGAGTCTTACGTAGAATAACGGAAATTTCTGAGTATGAGCGGCCGGCCGGCCGGCCGTGGTCACGATTCTGCGACGCTTATATCTCAGCAACCACTTGACCGATTTACATGCGGTAATTTTTGTAGGGTAGCTTCATTCCTTCTACCAAGTATTGGACTATTCCCGATGCATGTGAATGACCCCTTATGCACGTGCCACGTGCAAAACGAAGAGGTGTCACTTTTGTAATTGTTGCAATATCTCGGTAACTACTTGGCCGATTGCGCTGAAAGTTGGCATGCAGGTAGGCACCCACTAGGCAATGCTTATCCATGTGCCACAGTTGGGGTGCTGCTGCACGTGCGCACGTGCAGGGGTCGATTCCAGATCTCGAGAACGGCTGGACCGATGGCGCTCAAATTTGGTACATGGCTAGGGACCGGTTAGTAGGGTGCCGTGCAAAAGTCAGTTGGGACCCATTTTGCACGTGCGCACGTGCAGGGTGCCGCTTCCAGATCTCGAGAACGGCTGGGCCGATTGTGCTCAAATTTGGCACATCACTAGAGACCGGTTAGTAGGGTGCCGTGCACAAGTCAGCTGGAGGTACCCCCTCGAAATTTCGCACGTGCAAGGCTCACCCTCTCGCTCGCTCCGTTAGTCGCCCCAAAAGGCGTTATACTGGTTTACGGAGTTAGACAGGTGGGGGAAGGAGGGACTACCCCCGGGCTGCGGTGGTTGGGATGACCCCCCGGGCCCCGGGCCCCGCCGGGTTAAGGTCGCAGCTAATAAAACTATAAAACTAAATTACGAGACACAAACCTGTGAAAACGTTATGTTGTTCGTTGAAATGTAAAATGGTATATTCCTCAGAATAATAATCAGTACCTACATAGTTCTCTTTTTTACCGTAGTGCGTGTATGTGCGATTCTCTCACACACAATTGATATACCTACCAGAATAAGCTCCATTAGGGCGATCCACATACATTTCCAGATAACCCGGATATACATACCTATCACATTTTGTCATACCTCCCTGAGCTCAGTCTCAGTCTAGGGTTCCCATAACAGGATGATCTCTTCTTTGGCCGATTTTGACAAACTGCCTCTCAACCTCCTCGAGGTCAAGCTCGAGGGCAGCCTTCTGATGAATTAAAATGAGTAGGAGAATGAGTGGGAGTAAGAGATATGCGACAGACGGTCCGAGAACGAACGTTCTGCTGATGCACTTGATACGGGGACCGTCAAAAACAGGCGTACTATTCTAACCGCCTATCATGAATGTTGCACCGGTCTTCTGTTCCCATTTCAACATCAGCCAAATTTTGTGGGGGCAAAAACATAGTCTTGCCCCCACGGCCTCCTGCCAGTGGGGGCAGTCTGCCCCCACTGCCCCCACGGTGGCGCCGCCCTTGACTGCATATCATGTAATATAACCCAAACTTTTCCCCATGGAAGTTCCTTTGTTTAATTATTATGCCCAGAAATGTGTCGATTTTGTGCCATTTCCGGGCGCTTTGGGGGGGGGGGGGGCATGGCCCCGTGGCCCCCTCTATATCCTCCTATGGCCAGACGGCCATGACGGCCCTGATCTGACCGTAAGCCATCAAATGTCAAACTTCGCAATGATGCGATACTTTTTTTTCGGAAAACGTGCTTGTATCTCAAAAACTATGATAGCTAGGAGGGCGCAATCGATAGGAGAAAAGCAATCGATATATCTTGAACAGCTCTTTCGTCAATATTTCGTCAGAATTAAGTTCAGATCAACGGTTAAGGCTCCATAGCCAAAAACAGGTAAAATTACAATTTTGTCAATATAGGTTTCATGAAAAGCTTTTGAACTAAAAAAGGTAGAGAATTTTCGTTTGCACGATCGTTCTTCTCTCATTTTTCCCTCGAAATGTCAAGGGCAGAACTTGACCTCACATTAAGGTCATTTCGTGACCAAGATAGATCATGTCGCATATCAGTCGATGCGTTTCGATGAGGTACCTCAAAACAATGATACAATCCACTGCGCATGCAATAGCCCTGTAGGGCCGGATTTTGGGCCAGGCTCCGGGCCTGCGGGCTCCAACTTGACATCTCTAAACAAGGCAAGGCGCGGGTCTGAGGCTATCATTACACAAGGCCGGAGAGTAGTGCAAGACACAGGGCCTTAGAACACCTGATGGTCAACACACCTGATGGCAGGGCAACACGCAGGATCTTAGATCAGGGCAAGAAATAGTACCTAAAGGTAGAGCAAGACATAAGACACAGGTATGGCACAAGGCCCGAAACACCACCCACGTCTTGTCATACCTTCGGGCCCCGAAGGTATGACAAGACGTGGGCGGTGTTTCACGGACGCTGCTATCAAATTCCGCGAGCTGACGTCATACTTGTGGTAGTGTTTGAGCAATGGGCCTGTTGATGTCTCCATGGGAACCCAATTTGACACTGTAATAGCAGCGTGCTGCTATCACCGGTGAAACAGGGCCAGGGTATGGGGCCTGAGGGCAGGGCAAGGCTCAGGGCATGAAGGCAGAACAAAGCACAGGTTCTGAGGACAGGTAAGGGCACGGGGCATGAGGACGGGAAACGGCACGGGATCTGAGGGCGGGAGACACCACAGGGCCTGATGACAGGGCAGGGCACAGCGCCTGAGAGCGGGCATGGGACACGAGACCTTAGGGCAATGCAGAATACAGGGCTTGAGGGC